GCCGCTAGAGAACGAAACTCCAGGGCGAAGTCCTGCGCGGTCCTCGTCCCCTGCCTCAGATGGACCTGCCACCAGGAGACGAGGGCGGACACCTTCTCCCACTCCGATGGAGCCAGACTGATGGTTGAGAAGTATAAATCCATTTGTAAGAGGATTCTGTGATGCTGTGATTTTGAAGGAGTCAGGAGCAGTAGGGTAAATCACAGAATAACAGGATTTATTCTGAACTACAGAGTTACGCAGTAATGCGTAAAAACACTCCAGTGCGCAAAACAGGCACACTGGAAAATACAAGGCACACAGGGAATATTCCCGGCGATACAACATACACGGAGCTCCACCGAGCTTCTCTCTCCTCCACAATAAACAATAACATCAAAGACAAGAGGGCAGAGGGAACACTTATACAGGTACTGATGAGGGGATATGAACCAGGTGTGTGTAATAAACAAGACAAAACAAATGGAATGATGAGATGAGGAGCGGCAGTGGCTAGAAGGCCGGTGACGACGAACGCCGAAGCCTGCCCAAACAAGGAGTGGAGGCAGCTTCGGAGGAAGTCGTGACGGACAAATACAATTAGATTTGATTTGATTCGAAAAGCTCGCCGCCATTGGACTCTGGAGCAGTGGAATGGCGTTCTCTGTAGTGATGAATCATGCTTCACCATCTGGCAGTCTGACGGACGAATCTGGGTTTGTGGGATGCCAGGAGAATGCATAGTGCCAACTAAAGTTTGGTGGAGGATGAATAATGGTCTGGGGCTGTTTTTCATGGTTCAGACTAGATCGGTGTGGAAAAACTTGACTGGCCTGCACAGAGCCATGACTTCAACCCCATCGAACACCTTTGGGATGAATTGGAATGCTGACTGCGAGCCAGGCCTAATCGCCCAACATCGGCGACCGACCTCACTAATACTCTTGTGGCTGAATGGAAGCAAGTCCCCGCAGCAATGTTCCAACATCTAGTGGAAAGCCTTCCCAGAAGAGTGGAGGCTGTTATAGCAGCAAAGGGGGGACCAACTCCATATTAATGCCCATAATTTTGGAATGAGATGTTCAGGTATCCACATGTAGTGTAGGTCAGTGAGGTGGTTAGCTGCCAGCAGAGACTGCTATTGTAAAAACGGCTAGCTGGAGCTCGTCTGAGCGGTCGGTTGTGAATGCCCTCACCTGCTAGTACTTAATGCTGATATAATTGGTTCCGACACTCTACAGCAGGGTTGCCCAACCCTGTTCCTGGAGAGCTACCCTCCTGTAGGTTTTCGCTCCAACCCCAGGTGTTACTAACCTGATTCATCTTATCAACCTGCTAATTATTAGAATCAGGTGTGCTAGATTAGGGTTGGAGCAAAAATCTACAGGACGGTAGCTCTCCAGGAACAGGGTTGGGCAGTCCTGCACAACAGACTGTCTGGCAAAAACAGTATGGATGCTTCTTAGTCCAGAACTTCTATTACCGTCATGAGTTTACATAGGATGGACTTGTGGCAAATATACAATGCTGTAAGCTATGCAATAGGAATATCTACACAGGAAAGAATGGCATAGCATCTATACAGGGATATTCACATAACAGCATGCACATTTACAGCAGTATGTGTATAAACATCTCGCTGGTGGGAGAGAGAACTAATTACTTAGACAGGCGAGATTTATGGCCCTCTCTCTCAGGACTCTCAGGACTGGTGGAGATCTTATCTGATCTGTGTCTAGAGTCATAACTCTTACTGTGTGTGCGGGAGCAACAAGGACAGTCCACAGGCTATAGGAATAAACCATCTCTAAACAATAACATATACTGCAAAACACTCATGCATTCAATGCAATACAGGCACTTGGAGTATCTGAAATATACACTTAACAAAAATAGAAACGCGACATGCAACAATTTAAAAGATTTTATAGAGTTACAGTTCATAGAAGGAAATCAGTCAATTGAAATAAATTCATTGGGCCCTAATTTATGGATTTGACAAGACTAGGCAGGGGCACAGTGATGGGTGGGCCTGGGAGGACATAGGGAGGGCAATGGGGAGCCAGGCACAGCCAATCAGAATGAGTTTTTTGCACGAAAGGGCTTTATTACAGACAGAAATACTCCTCAGCACCAACCCCTCCCCCCCACCTCCTCAGACAATCCTGCAGGTGAAGAAGCTGGATGTGGAGGTCCTGGGCTGGTGTGGTTACATGTGGTCTGCGGTTGTGAGGCCGGTTGGACATACTGACAAATTCTTTGGCTTATGGTAGAGAAATGAACATTCAATTCACTGGCAACAGCTCTGGTGAACATTCCTGCAAAACTTGAGACATCTGTGGCATTGTGTTGTGTGACAAAACTGCACATTTTAGAGTGGCCTTTTATTGTCCCCAGCACAATGTGCACCTGTGTAATGCTCATGCTGTTTAATCAGCTTCTTGATATGCCACACCTGTCAGGTGGATGAATTATCTTGGCAAAGGAGATATGCTCACTAACAGGGATGTAAACAAATGTGTGCACAACCTTTGAGAGAAATAAGCTTTTGTGCATATGGAACATTTCTGGGATCTTTTATTTCAGCTCATGAAACATCTGATCTGGAGTGGGAGGGGTCAGAGTCCAACTGTGCATTCGGGCACTCTGATTGGTGGAAACCAGGAGGCTGTGACAGCTGAGAAGAGGATAAATCATCCTAACGGGACTATGGGGAAAGTCACGTGCACAGACATGGCCTTTTTTTTTTTTTTTTTTTTTTTTTACATCTATTGCAGTAATGTTGAAGGGCTCTTATTACTTAGCCAGCTAGAAGGATGAAATAATAAGCTAACTTTAAACGGCGCCTACCTTAGCAGGAGCAAAAAAAGGGCAACAAGTTCTCATAATAACTTTGCTTTACAGAGAATAGGCTACTGAGACAGACAGTGATTTGGCGCTCAGAGGTGAGGCTGAGGCAGGCTGCAATGCATGCAGGAAGAAGCAGAGGACACAGAGAGAGAGAGGAAGCAAGCAGAGAGAGGTTAGTACAGTGGTTCCCAAACTTGTGGGCGGGTCCCCATGTGGGGTCCCCTGAGAACATCTGTACTAATCCTATCAAACAAGTTAGGAACTTTAAAAAATAAAATATGTTTCAATATGAACATCTCCACATGACGTATCTTTCCTTTCGGCCTCCATTAAATTGCAATCAGAAAGTAAACAATACAGTTCTAAAATGTCATATGTTTTCGTTTATATCGGTGACTGTTCATCATATCTTGATCGCCCACTGGACTTTATAGTTTATTATATTAATACAGAAATCGTAAGTAATATTCTAATAATTCATGTGAATGTGATATTACGGTCATCTGTGTGCTCCATTGATGTCTGTTTGTGCGGAGCATTAGTAATGCCTAGGAATACAAATATGAACGCTATGTAATTCGAAAAAATAGATATCTATATAAAGAGTTGCTGATTTTATGCAATTCATTATTACAACTAACTGAACTGTCGCTGATGCTAAGTGTCAGTGTGAATCATTTCTCATATTTCCCCCCTTTCAGGGGTATAACATTATAATTGTATAGCTAATAGGCTATACAGTGCATTAGGAAAGTATTCAGACCCTTCACTTTTTCCACATTTTGTTACCTTACAGCCTTATTCTAAAATTGTTCCCCCCCCCCCCCACAGCAATTTACACACAATACCCCATGATGACAAAGCAAAAACAGGTTTTTTGAAATTTTAGCAAATGTATTAAAATAAAAAACTGAAATATTCTGGGGCCTGTAGTTTTTCCTGATATTGTAACCTAACCAGGTAAAACTCCAGACCTTATACGGTATAACGTGATTAATCTGTTGTAAACATATTTAATATGGGCTACCATGGGACCAGAGTTTTTCTAATCAGGTCACATGGTTAACAAAAAAAAAACTCCTGGCCTTGAGGAGGAGGAAAACCCTGTAAAACTGCAGCAACCTTGTACTTCATATTAATTATGTTTTAAAGAAGGACTAGGGAGGTTTCGTGTACACAGAGAAAGCAACAGAATTTGACAAAAAAACTCACAGGGCAGAGCTTTCTTTATGCAGGTTTGCATCTTGTAGTCCTGCCCTATGCAACTGTAGGCCTAATAAAAAATTTACTAATGTGTGCTATTGTGTTTATTGATTAATTCCAGTTAATAATTTTGGATTGAAAAAGTCTAGGTAACCTAGTCAGCCTAAGTTTGAATATAAACCAAATTTGATCTCATTCACATTTCTGCCTATAGGCTAAATACAAAAATGTACCCTGGCCACGCAAAGAGCCTGCAGCAGCACTCCAGGGTGAAGGACAGAGAAATTGTGCACGAGCTGACAAATCATGAGGCAAATCGGTATAAAACAAAAGCACCTTTCCCCTCTTTTTAACGCTTTGCGCGCATATATATTTTTATTAAAGTAAATCAAAAGTGGTGTGGCGCCACACCTGATTGAAAAGTGCTGTGGCAAATACCGCCTCGACGCACGTTTTCCGGCAGCCCTGATGATACATCATTATGACATGAACTATGACATGAACTATGACATGGCCTTTATGAACTATAGCAACCGGTACTGTCTCATTATCCAGGCCTACGACCAAAGACAGATGAATGTCTATTGTGGACCAATATATTGTATGCTAAGGGAATAAGGCCTTACAAAGGACACTGCCCATCATGGATGCCCCTCCTGTGAGTACTCGAATACCCAGCTATCTACTGTCTAACCCCCTGAACATTAGTTGAATTATAGAACCTGAAAGCATTACCTCATGTAAAAGTTTAATGGTTTATATTGGTTTCTTTGGTGTGCATAGATACTGTATACTAGGCTTTCAGAAAATGTATGATTTTCTGAACCTCTAACAAACGGTTTTCCTCCAACACAGCTGCGCCAAGAAGCTTTACTGAGGGAAAATCAACATCAGGCGGTCCACCCAGTTGTGACTGAGATCCCTCAATGCAATGAGGTGATGGGGTTCCTGGAGTTGGGCCAACCAGGGTAGAGGTCTCCCTGAAAGAGAGGGAGCAGCTGAGTCATCAGGAGATCGGTGGCTTGGTGTGCCTCCCAGCAGCGAGGGCCCAGGCAGAACCCAAGCTCTCTACGGAGGCTCCAGTAGTGGCACCATCAGTGCCAATGTACTCAGTGAGGAGGCGCCCAAAGGTAAATGCACACAAAATGACAGATCTCACCCAGTGCTCTATCCATCGATGTACAATACAACATATTTCTTTCCCATGAAGCAGACAATGTGTAGCTTATACTTCAAGATGTATATTCTTCAAGTCACTCACCTCACTCTTATTGAAACAGTGAGGTGTCATATCATTGATATGCTGTGTCATGTTATTGATTAGCAGTGTCATATTTTGGTTGTTTGGTTGATGTTTATTACAGACCTACCCTCCTCCACCACCACCCTCCATGAGGCCAGGATGGACAGGGGATCCCTGTGGTCCTCAACCTGTTCCAACAACCTGCGCACATGGAAGAGGTGAGTAAGAGTCTTTTTTTAACAGCAGTGAACCTAGAGGCCAGGTATGTATGACTTTGAGTAAGCATGCGAGTAACTAACAGGAATAGTGTCATTTATGGAGACTGAGGCTTTAATTGTCAGGTTGCCGTTTATTGGGATGAATCTTGTCTTGGAGGCAGCGCTGAATGGTTTCAGCTAGATGGGCCAGCCGCAATGTTAAAATTAGTTATATCGTAAAAAATTAATGGAAACAAAAATGTGCATTTTGGTCTTGATTTAAGGTTAGAGTTAGGCATAAGGTTAGCAGTGTGGTTAACGAATGGGGGTAAAGTTAGGTGTAGGTTTAATGTGATTTTATGACTTTGTGGCTGTGCCAGCTAGTGACCAACCTGAAGAGCTGCCTTCAGTACATGAGTCATCCCAATAAATGCCAACCTGCCTTTATTCATACTCGTGCCCTGTACTGCCTACAGAGTATTGAAGTTGTGTCCATATGTCCTACTTGTCACAGAGCCACGGAGCAGATACGTGGATGTCCTGGGCCAGGAATGGAAGAACAGTCCTGTGACTGAATGTTCTGCTGTCCCCAACTGCCCTGCTCAACGACCCGTGGTCCAGAGTGGACCTGCTGCTGAGCCTCTCATTGTGAGGCCCAAGACCAGCGGAGAGGGCTGGCTGGCTTGGCTTGCTTGGCTTTGGCCGTAAGAAGGAGACACACCTGCCGGAGGATTCCCCAAAATCTTTAAGAAACCTGCTCTTCATATCTTGACATTTTAAATCAGAGCAAAGCAATTGTATGAACTGTGAGTGTGTTATTAAATTGCTTTTACTAATTGTTTTCAAATTGTATTGATAGATACAGAGCAAGCCTCAACCACCTCCCTCACCAATGGGGATGTACCCCCCTCCAACAATGTGGAACACAGGCTATCTGGGGGACTCTGGCAGTCTTCCCAAGGGTGGCTACATGAGACTTAACTTCTCATACTGCTTCAGCCAATCATTGCTCTGTCTGCTGTTCTCCTTCTAACTTTTCCCCCTACTTACAGCAGGTCTGTGGGTTGACCCTAACCCCCAGATTAACCCGGATGGGAACATAACCGAGGCCCCCAGCCAGAGTCGCAAACCCGAAACACAGCTGTTCGTGACAGATGTGTATGCTCTGATGGCACCAATGGAAGTCCCACCTGACGGTCAGTATTGGTTATAAGTTGTTCTTGCTATTCTTCTATATGTTTGATAGGCTGGTGAGGTAAGGAAAGCTGCCACCATTTTGAATCCCTATTTGCTGGTAGTGATCAGACTCCCATCAATGCTTTTGCTATGGACCTCCCTTAGTAATAAGTATGCCGTAAAGTTAGACAGCAGCCTTTCCACAACAATCTACAGAATTCAGTAATTCGTTCAGTCTACAATTGTATTCATTAATATTTGAGCTAAGTTGTGTTTAGATGTTTGTAAAAGACAGTGAGGGAGAAATAGTGAGATACAGTATGTTTTTTTCTCTGCAGATTCAGAGAATTCAGCATGGTGGAATGGGAACTTTATTTAAAATGCCATGCCCAAATGCCACCACAATTCAAGAATGACCCTTTAGCTACCAAGCATGAGAACGAAAAAGACAGTTTTAATAAAAAAAAGTAGTAGTATTTCTATCCTCTGGATTTGCCATAAATTGTTGTTGGATAGAAGTACAGCGATACCTTCCATCCCTGGATTGAAGTACAAAGTTCACAGAGGTGCAAATATATTGGCATATGGTCGTTTCAACTAGGAGAGCATTTCTTCTAGTCTAAATGTTTTGGCTAGACCTAGGATCATAGGATAGGATCATAGAATCATAGAATCATAATGCAGCCTATACAAGCACAATGACAGCATTCTTCCACTAGAGGGCACCATCGACTTTGGTAAACCACCTTGAACTCAATACAAGTCGTGTTAGAGGCATAGAGATGGATAGAGGGTGCACTTGCCACAAATATAGTGTGTGTGGTCTCTTTCGCTCTCAATGCCTCACACCCATAGTAATGGAGAGAATCAAACACTGGATGTCAGTATGGTACCACCATGGTACACTAAAATCATTATCTGAGTCAGTGAAGCTGTTAGTCAGTAAGACCAACACCAGTGATTTATGATATTGTAAACATGCCAGAATGAAAGCAAACTATAGAAAAGTAGCTCGTTTGTCAAAGTCTCACCGGTCGGTAAGTGCACTGGACTTTTACAAAAGCATTCAAAGTTTGGAAAAATTGAGTCATACTTTCACTTGCAGTGCCAACTTGGTGGGAAAATGTGCCTCACAGCTCACACTCCTTTCTGACAGTTAGCAGTGTTATTCAATACTGTCGCTACATCACTGTTAGGTAACTAGCTATATAGGCCTATGTTTATTTGTACCACATTTGGTTGATCCAACCAAATAACAATGTTTATTTTTGTTACAAGTATGTTGCATTGTGTGCACAGTGCTGTTCCCTGTGGGGAATGCCTGTTTAAGTGCATATGAAGTCAAATGACATTCCACTAACTATAACAGACATATTAATGAAGAACAAATCAAGACTACAGTATACTTATCTCTCACACACACACACACACACACACACACACACACACACACACACACACACACACACACACACACACACACACACACACACACAAACAGGAGAGCCTGGAGCAGAGGGCATCTGCATTGCAGCGCCCAATGAGCAGTTTAGGGAGTGAAGTTCCTTGCTTAGGGGAACATTACATGTTAATGCAAAAACAGAATGATGAATAAATATCCTGGATAGCTTTGCTTTCTGATTATCTCGCCACCAAAAGAGATACATTATCTTATTTTATTAAGGATGTCATAATGTGTCTTCCTTCCACTATCTCGTACAGCAGCTGTGTATAATCACGCCGGCTAGCTAAATGACGGTAAGATGTGATTGTTATGTCTTTCTTGACCCCACATATCTCTCACAGCAGTGTAGTATGAAAAAAGTATGAAAAAGTATGAAATGTATGCACTCACTAACTGTAAGTCGCTATGGATAAGAGTGTCTGCTAAATGACTAAAATGTAAAGTATAGTAGCTACTGTCTGTAGCCCATAGCTGATAAGAACAGGGTGTGGTTGACACTAAGAACCAGTCTGACCTGCCTGTTGCCTAAATCAACTGACTGGCCCGTTACCAGCCACCAATCCTGATGTGTTGTCCACCCTCTCCATTGCAACAACATCCCTTCATAATAATTGTGAAACAAACTGCTCCCTCTTCATGACAGTTATTGCGGCACATTTTTTATGGTCGTATGATGAATCACGCTATGATAAGCGAAGAGAGAGACTTGGTGTGATGTCAGTGGCTGTCTATCTTAACGACACAACAGGAATGCTAGCACTGACAGATTTATGATAGTGTTTGATCCCATGGCACTGTGTGCAGACCCAAGTCAAAGCTGCGCTGTGTGTTGAAAATTCACATCCAGCTAGTGCTTGGCTATGACTGTCTCGCATTGCCCTTGGAGGTTCCCCGTTCCCACTGAGACCTGCAGTTCAGTCGTTGTTTTGACTTTCACAGATAGTTATTGATACCAATCATGCCATGCTCTGTCTGAGACTCTGGGCAGAGGTCAAGGGTTTTCTCCTCTCCTTGTGTATTCAGTCAAACTTAGAATGCGCTAACATGGAGGCTATCAGTAGAACTCGTCACCTATGAGGGATTTTCCTTCTCTCACCCCACACAGTTCCTCCAAAGTCCCAAGCTATATACTTTTCTACAGACTTTTTTGGACAAAGAGGAGAATGTGTTCAACTTACTTTAGATACTAAGCTGAACTTTGTCTCAGTACTGTAACAAGAAAGCACAATTTCTTCTAGGGATATTTCAAACAAGTGTGTTTCATGATTACTCTAATATGTATGATCAAAGTATCATGAACAGAGATTCCACTGGGCAAAAACTGGTTGAAACAACGTTGTTTCCACGTCATTTCAAACAGCAAACTAAATGTGATGATGTTGAATCAATATGGAAAACTGATTGGATTTGCAAAAGGTCATCAACTTAAGGGAAGTTAGTATTTTTTTTACCTAAATCCAATGACACTGTGACATTTTTGGTTGATTTCAAGTTTAATTCACGTTAGTTGACAACTCAACCAAATGTAAATCAAAACTAGACATTGAACTGACGTCTGTGTCCAGTGGGATGTGATATAAGACAAGCTGGTAATTATTCAGTCGAATTAAATTAAATTAGATGTTATTACAGTCCAAGCCATGTATAAAATGTATTGTATTGTGTTGATTGACAAGGAAATGGTCCGGATCTGATTAACATTTGAAATGTCAATAGAAAAGACCAACCACATCAGTTCCAGGCAATCTGCCAGGTGATCAAAACAAACAAATTGTGTTTGCAGTTTTACAGCTACAGTGAGGGAAAAAAATATTTGATCCCCTGCTGATTTTGTACGTTTGCACACTGACAAAGACATGATCAGTCTATAACAGTTCAAATAATTATTTGAACAGTGAGAGACAGAATAACAACAAACAAATCCAGAAAAACGCATGTCAAAAATGTTATAAATTGATTTGCATTTTAATGAGGGAAATACGTTTTTGACCCCTCTGCAAAACATGACTTAGTACTTAGTGGCAAAACCCTTGTTGGCAATCACAGAGGTCAGACGTTTCTTGTAGTTGGCCACCAGGTTTGCACACATCTCAGGAGGGATTTTGTTCCACTCCTCTTTGCAGATCTTCTCCAAGTCATTAAGGTTTTGAGGCTGCCGTTTGGCAACTTAAACCTTCAGATCCCTCCACAGATTTTCTATGGGATTAAGGTCTGGAGACTGGCCAGGCCACTCCAGGACCATAATATGCTTCTTCTTGAGCCACTCCTTTGTTGCCTTGGCCGTGTGTTTTGGGTCATCATGCTGGAATACCCATCCACGACCCATTTTCAATGCCCTGGCTGAGGGAAGGAGGTTCTCACCCAAGATTTGACGGTACATGGCCCCGTCCATCGTCCCTTTGATGCGGTGAAGTTGTCCTGTCCCCTTAGCAGAAAAACACCCCCAAAGCATAATGTTTCCACCTCCATGTTTGACAGTGGGGATGGTGTTCTTGGGGTCATAGGCAGCATTCCTCCTCCTCCAAACACGGTGAGTTGAGTTGATGCCAAAGAGCTCGATTTTGGTCTCATCTGACCACAACACTTTCACCCAGTTCTCCTCTGAATCATTCAGATGTTCATTGGCAAACATCAGACGGCCCTGTATATGTGCTTTCTTGAGCAGGGGGACCTCGCGGGCGCTGCAGTATTTCAGTCTTTCACGGCGTAGTGTGTTACCAATTGCTTTCTTGGTGACTATGGTCCCAGCTGCCTTGAGATCATTGACAAGATCCTCCCGTGTAGTTCTGGGCTGATTCCTCACCGTTCTCATGATCATTGCAACTCCACGAGGTGAGATCTTGCATGGAGCCCCAGGCCGAGGGAGATTGACAGTTCTTTTGTGTTTCTTCCATTTGCGAATAATCGCACCAACTGTTGTCACCTTCTCACCAAGCTGCTTCGCGATGGTCTTGTAGCCCATTCCAGCCTTGTGTAGGTCTACAATCTTGTCCCTGACATCCTTGGAGAGCTCTTTGGTCTTGGCCATGGTGGAGAGTTTGGAATCTGATTGATTGATTACTTCTGTGGACAGGTGTCTTTTATACAGGTAACAAGCTGAGATTAGGAGCACTCCCTTTATGAGTGTGCTACTAATCTCAGCTTGTTACCTGTATAAAAGACACCTGGGAGCCAGAAATCTTTCTGATTGAGTGGGGATCAAATACTTATTTCCCTCATTAAAATGCAAATCAATTTATAACATTTTTGACATGCATTTTTCTGGATTTTGTTGTTGTTATTCTGTCTATCACTGTTCAAATAAACCTACCATTAAAATTATAGACTGATCATTTCTTTGTCAGTGGGCAAACGTACAAAATCAGCAGGGGATCAAATACTTTTTTCCCTCACTGTATAAACAATAACACCTAAAGCTAATGTAAATTCCCCACAAACCCAAGCCTTGGGCTTTGTAAACAAGGCAGCAATTACAGTGTTTTAACAATCTGTATACAACAGGAAAATATGACATATGATGAGAGCAATTCAACATTTATTTTGCCCAATGTAAGTTAGGTGGTTATCCATCCCTTCTATGAACTCACCCCTATTCTACAAGCAAGAACAGTGTGTGTGTGTGTGTGTGTGTGTCGGGGATGACGACGACAGCAGACTCCCCAATATAACAACAATAGCAATAATAAGAACAGCCATTTAAAAGGACGTTATTTAGAAACCGGCCTGACTATGTATTTTTTATTAATGTATTGTGTGTGTGCACATATGTGGTGTGTTTCATGTGTGTATGTGCAAGGATGTGTGTATGCGTGTGTCTGTGAGAAAGTGAGTGATTGCGTATTGCAAACATGGTCCCCTTGGTTCATTTGCAGGAACTGCAGTTTCTAAATGTCCTATTGATTCTGCTCCAATATCAACATTAGTCATCTCAGTATTCCACTAGAGAACGTCCACTATTCTCATTTAGGCATAGCATAGACAGAAACACCTACCTACCTGTCAAACATAAACATAGAAAGTGTGTTCACACAGAAACAGACACAGACAAGAACACACCCCTTGTTGCCCCCCCCCCCCCTCTGTGTCCGACACCTTCTGACTAGTTCCACTGTACTCAATCATCGTTCCACAGAGAGCAAAGTACAACACAGATACCAACCCTGTCAACAAATACTTTCTTTGTTCAGCCGGTCAGTATTTACCTCCTCAGTCAATGTTTTTCCACTTGTCTCTAGGCAACACTGCCACTTGGTGAGTAGGAAACTCTGCATGTTGTGGCACTGTGTCGAAATGCTAAAGAATGTCTGAGGGCAAAGATTAGTCGTCCAGTTGGGTGTGTCCCGACTCCCTTTTGAGGAGTAATTTTACCACACCCAGGGTCATATACTCCGTTCTGCGGTCACGGATCCTGCTCCCTGATCCTTTTCTCCATTCAGTGGTGTTTGAGTGCATAAGCTGCAAGGCACACAAGACTTTCAGTAACCTTCAATGTCTCTCACATGTTATGTTTTCCACAGCTGAGTTTTCAGCCATTGTCCACAACATCCTGACAACCTCCTGACAACCCCGCTGTTATATCTAACACAGAGCCCCGAGAGTATTATGTGGTTGTCATGCTTTTTAATAAATACAGGCAACAGATGGGGGAAAAACAATACAGGCTTATAATAGTATGATAGTCAACTTTTCCAAAAGCTGTCTACCTTATTGAAATAATTTCAGCCACACAATAGCGATTCATATTCACCAGAACATTTATTTTCAGAAACAGGATGGTCAAACACACTCTGATAGCAAATCTTGTTCATTATTCCTACTTTCTCATCCTAATTCCACTTCCTGGAACTCTAGTAAGGCTTCCTATGATTGGCAGATATCTTAAAGACAGGTATATTATTGACCTATCAGGATGAGAGGCATTGCAGTGTTAACGGTACTCCTCAGGTATTTTATTTGACAGCTCTCCTCTTTAGTTGTAACAGTGTGTGGTGTTTGTGGGTGTGGGTGTGTTTCTGATAATATTATGCACTGCCAGCAGAGATGGACATCTAGCTGGAAGAGCGCACTGTGGTGGTTGTGAGTGTGGTTTTCGATCCCCCTGCAGAAAGAAAATGAGAACGTTACAACATGCTGATTACCTACTATTACAACCATCATATATTTTCATTATAAAGCCATTATATAAAATAGATGATATTTACCTGAGCCAACAGGTCTGAAAAGGCGGATGGTGAAAAGAAATGGAAAAAATTAGTTGGAGTGGTAGCCATTTTGTATCTGTCTGAATGACTAACAATAATAACTATGACTACTATGATTATTTGGGCCATGTTAAATGTATGGACGTTTATGGCCATTTCCCATAGATTTGCAGTGTTTACCTGGACTCCTCCCCTTCCAGGAGGCCCCTGTAGGTGGCGATCTCCTGCTCCAGACGGGACTTGATGTCCAGCAGCATCTTGTAATCGTGGCCCTGCGTCTCGATGCTCTGGCGCACCCTGTTTAGCTCCTGTTCCAGCATGTCGATCTGGTTCTGGTAGCCCGAGAGCATGGCGCTGTAGCGGGCCTCTGTTTCTCTCAGTGTGTTCTCCATAGCTGCTTTCTGTGTGGCGATAGAGGTGATACAGGGTCAGTAACAGGAAATGCAATTATAGAAATAATGAAAATAAACCTTAAACCAGACATAGTTATTGCACTTAATCAACTTTGATAAGCAAATGTCAACAAACTTCTGCTAATACACCATACCAAGACTATGTTGAGAGTTAACACAAATATGCCGGGCGCCACTAAGCACAGCAAGGTCACTTCTTTGGGGTGCTTATTTGAAATGAGATACTGAGTTCTATGTATTCCCAAAAAAGGAATTGCAGCAGATGTTTCTTTTCTTTAAATGGCCTTTAGTGGAGGCTGCTTTGGGGAGGACGGCTCATAATAATGGCTGGAACGGAGCTAATGGAATGGCTTCAAACACATAGAAACCATGTGTTTGAATCCAGTCACACTGATTCTCCAGCTATTACCACGAGCCCATCCTCCCCAATTAAGGTGCCACCAACCTCCTGTGCTTTAGACCAAGATGGAATGTAGCCTTGTTACTGCAGCGGGATGGATTTAGATATATTTTACTGAGTTTGATAAGCCCCAGCTAAGTTTCCATGGGAGTTAGGCTCTAGCTCTTTCACTGCATTCCTTTGGAAACACTCATACTCTTGCTGTCTTCCAGAGAGGGTGCAGATGCCTTTAAAAAGCAGAAAACCTCTGCATAACCCTAACCTCCCCCGTGTCCACCAATCCCCCACTTTTAGCCTTTTTCCATTGCTTTCCCATTTTCCCTCTCCTACTCAATCTCTCTCCAAGTCCTCCCCCTTCTTCCCTCCCTCCTATCTCGTCAATCCCTTTCAACCATGCCCTCCTATCTCGCTCTTTCCCTCTGTTGAAAGAGAGAAACTAGACTCCAGAGGATTGAGAATGAGAATGGTGAAAGAGAGTCAAATGTTGATTGTTGCCAAAAGTGGCATAAAGTAGTGTAAATTGTGGCCCCTAAACTGTGGTCCGTTGTCAGACGTTAGTGATGCTGGCTCACCATGCTGTGCTGTGACTGCAGCTCGATCTCCAGGCCCTGCACGGTGCGTCTCAGGTCGTTGATCTCTGTCTTGGTCGTCTGGATGATCTCTGTGCTGGTGGCCACCTCCTTGGACAGGTTGGCTGACTGAAATACAAACAAACCAGGGCCGCCATTTTAATCCCACTGTAGCTCACTTTCCTGAAGAACTTAAACCACCATCTTCAAAGACATTACAGTTAATTACATATTGTTAATTACAGTTAATTACATATTTTGGTTTTGAAGATGTAATTACAAAAGATTAGTGTGGGAGACAGATGGGGAATTTTGGTGAGGTGTGCCATGGCGACGGTTACCTTGTCGTTGAACCATGCCTCCTGGTCGCGGCGGTGTTTGTCGATGATGCCCTCGTACTGGGTGCGGATCTCCTCCATCATCCTGGACATGTCCTGCTGGGGCGCTGCGTCCACCTCCACGTTCACTGTGCCGGTGAGTTGAGCACGCATGGCTGCCAGCTCCTGTGGAATCATGGGAAATGGAGTCACTCTCATCCCTCTTACTTTCTATCCAATGTTTCAAAACAATCCCCCGCCACTAACTTTCTCCTCTCTATTGTCACTGGGGTGTGTTTATACTGAATAACATCTCATCACTGCAATGGAAAAAAGGGAAAAAAGGGAATTGCCCCCGCACCTCTATGTGGTTCTTCTTGAGGTAGGCCAGCTCATCCTGCAGACCCTCGATCTGCATCTCCAGGTCGGCCTTGGTCAGAGTGGTCTGGTCCAGCAGGCGACGCAGGTTGGCGATGTCAGCCTCCACCGACTGGCGCATCATCAGCTCATGCTCAAACCTGATTGGTTGGGAGAAAGGGAGGAAGTTATCATGAGACATTTGAATCCAAAATTGTAAATAAGACATGTACCTTTTGAGTGATTATTTGCTTGTTTGCCTCTTATAACCTAGTTTTGTAATAGCTGATACTATGGAGCTGATTGAGGAAGTGCCCTTACTTGGTCTGGAAGTCATCAGCAGCCAGTTTAGAGTTGTCAATCTGCAGCAGGATGTTGGCGTTGTTGCATGTGGCACCGTTGATCTAAAAGAAAACATGAAAGACTTTCATTGTTCACCATGGTAGAATCACAGTTAGTCAACTTGGAAGCTGATAGTATTTTGATACGCTATTGCATCTGTCGCAAAGCTTGTTGAATACACAAGGAGTTAACACTTCCTAAAAACCTAAATATGAATCTACCAGAAAAAGAAATCAGCCATTTTTAGCAGCTCCTGGAACGACCTTGTAACTTCCTTGCTTCAGATTTCTTTCATTATAGGTCTTAAATAGCCATCTTTTAAAAATAATCTCAGAATCTATAAATGTCAGTGACAGCTCATTGATTTTCTAACCCTCTGAACTCTGATTAAAAACTATAAGTCAATCCTGAAGTATACATTATGAATGTTGTGTTCTTCATTCCTACATACAGTAAGCTGATTTTCCTTACCCTAGTAGCCTGTCAGCACTGCCTACTTAACACTGCAAGATACGAAATGATGGATTTGATCAGCTAATAGCAGACGAGGTCAGCACACTACCTTGTCCTTCAGGTCGTTGATGATGGCCCAGTATTTGCTGTAGTCCCTCTCGGCGGCAGGCCCCTTCTTCTCATAATACTCCCTGATCTGAATCTCCAACTTGGAGTTGGCCTCCTCCAGCGAGCGCACCTTATCCAGGTAAGTGGACAGGCGGTCGTTCAGGTTCTGCATGGTGGCCTTCTCGTTCAGGTGGATGGCGCCGCCATCCAGGGTGCTGGACAGGTTGAAGCCGCCACCACCTCTGGATCCATAACCACCACCGCCGGATCCATAGCCACCACCGAAGCCGGCCCCACCGCCGTACCCAGAGGATACTGAGCGTACGGAGGAAGAGGAGATGCGGGTGCCACCGCCGGAACCACCTCCGTACACGCTGAAGGCCTTGGGGGCACTGGACACGTAGCCGACCCGGCTTGAGATGATGTTGGAGCCCCCGGAGAAGTTCATGGGGCCGCCACCGCTGGAGCTCTTGTACGAGTAGTAAGACATGCTGACTTGCTGGCTGCTGTAGGTCAGTGGAGTGGAGGAGAGAGGAGAGAGGACCGTTGTAGAGCTGGAGCCTCCAGGAGTGTGGAGTTGGACAGAGGGAGGCTGGCTCCTGATATAGTCTGAGCCCTGGGGCGGGCCTTGTGGAGGTGGGAGAGGAGAGGAGGAGAGAACAGGGAACGGACAGGGGGAGGAGAGGGTGACTTTACAACACTCTCCAATAGCCTTGGCACCGCCACAGTCTGTTTGCCTTTAAGGACCAGTGTTCAGTTTCCACCCTGTGAGGAAACTGTAATGGAATGCCTGTGTGTGTGATGTGTGCGGGGGAATGAGTGTGTGTGTGGTGTGTGTGTGGGAGGGGGGGGGGGGTGAGTGTGTGTGTGTGTGTGTGTGTGTGTATGTGTGTGCCTGTGTGCCTTAATTACTAGGACTTTATGCCAGTCTATCAAACTATATCACTCTCTGTTATTTGCCAGTCGTTAGGTATACATTGTTGAAACATTGAAGTATCCCTTTTTTCCAAGCTAAAGTAAAGTGTTACCTGCCACACCTAAAGTAAACATCTTATTACAGGATAAGTGCTAAGCACACTGTATCTATCATTAAAACTGTGGGTGTCTTTCATTAAAGAAATGAAATGTATTGAAACCATTAAATGGTTATTCCAAGTTACCTACATTGGTACACAGACTGCTAAGATACTTCAGCATATTCAGCTGAAGACAGCAAATCAATGACCATTTTGCTTATTCGTCAGTGAGTGATGAAATGCATCTCAAACACGTGAACATACTGTATATCAACAATTCAAAGCAATTCATCTACCCAGAAAGTGTTGGCATGCAGTCAATTACTATTGAGCACTTTATTGATTGAAACATCATCTATATGGTAGAAAACATGACTGTATGAAGACCCCCAGACCTCTATTGTTTTACATACTCTCAGCCTGGTCCTTTTAGGGGCCCATGTACGCGGCCCATTGTTCTCCATCTACTTCAAACATCCCCTTCAGCCCCATGGGCCGTGTCCTGTGTCTCTGTGTGTTAGTGTGTAGTGTGCTAGTGTGTGTGTGTGTCTTCTGCGTTAGTGAACTGAGACTCCCAGTACGGATGAAGTATGTTGTTTTTGGCCAGGGGGAGGTAGAGTGTATGATGAAGGACGATGAGGGAGAGAGAGCCTCGGGGGGGTTGTGACTGTGTGTGAGATCAGTCTTGGACACTGGCCAGCTCCCACCCCACATCTGGTATCAGCATCTGAGAAACAGGGAGAGCAAGGAAGGGGAATGGGTCCTCATACCTCATACAATCTCTAATAGGGTTGTGCCTGAGTTGGAGGGGGATGCATTCACTTTTTCTTCATACATGTGAGAGATTTTAGTAAATTCGAGGGAAAACCACTCCCTGACTGCAAACGAAGAAGAATTGCATGCAAAACTTTGCTGCAGAATAATCCAACAAACCATACAGCATTATACCCATTACAGAGTGGCAGACTTTAGACATTGTGCAGACTGTGCAAGCTGTGAAGTGTAAGATTAGTTTTACTCTATAGTAGAAATTGAAACATCTCCAATGTAATTTTCTATTGATTCATTCATTGAATTGCAGTAAATCTTCTGTATTCACTGGATTAAAAACAAATACAGAATATAGAATCAACCCTGGTTCTAGAAGTTTCTCTGGTTCATGGAAGTTTTCTACTCTTGCCCAACCCGGCCGGTGCCAGAACCTGGCCTTGGCACAGGTTGTGAGAAGTGGGCATAGTGGGCAGATACCGGGCAGGTGAATCGTCTGGAGCAGCAGAAGGATGCGGTCACTGACTCACACAGACACTTAAACAACCAACCCATTGTACCGTGTCACGTCGGAGCTTGCAACCTGTAAAAATCAGCAGTATGGCTCACATCTGGGTGCCTGTTTTCACTTGCACTGAATGAATCTTTCACATTTATAGAGGTGACCGGAAAACTTTCTATACTGTGTAGAGTGTCTGATTTCCTGCCATAAAGATACTGTAGCGATTCTTATGAATTTATATTGAGTCTCAATCGTATGTTGATAAGACAATAAGGTGATATTTGCTGATGAAAAGCATGTGATATAGCATTCTGTAAAAGGTGTGGCTGACCTAGCTGAACTCTACAATACAACTCTCTGTTTGAAGAGTATGGCAGCTACTGTAGTTATGGTGCTACTACAAATGGAATAATAACCCAAAAGATGTCCTTAGGTGTCGGGCATAAAACTGAATGAGGGTCCATTTATTTCACAATGCATTGAAACCATGTGTCGTTTCAGTGTGTTTCAGTGCAGCTAAAAACTGGAGATATCCTATCCTTACACGTGTTGATAACAAGCTGTAGGGTGAGCAATAATTTCACTGTAGTGTTCAAAGAATGACCCCAATCTAACTCTCATAGCTTCACTTCCACAACCAAATAAAAGCTGTAACATCTATAAATAACCGAAGCCGGTAACTGTGTATAACTCTGCTATCACTACACTCTTATAAAAAAGGGTTCTTCGGCTGTCCCCATAGGATAACCCTTTAAAGAACCCTTTTTGGTTCCTGGTAGAACCCTTTTGAGTTCCAGGTAAAACCCTTTTGAGTTCCATGTAGAACCCTTTCCACAGAGGGTTCTACATGGAAACCAAAAGAGTTCTACCTGGAACCAAAAATGGTTCTAACTGGAACTAAAAAGGGTTCTACTATGGGGAAGACTCAGGTCTCTATTCAATCTGTAAAGCTGAAGCGTTAGAGATTCCGCAATAGAAAGGTAATTTCCGATTGAGCTGACATATGCAGCGTTTACCGTGAATGCAGTCTCCAATAAAAAGCAGGAACATTTCCTTTACATTTTAATCAGGCTGTAAAGCTGAACTTCCCCGATGCAGATTGAATAGAGCCCTCAATTTAGACTGAATTGACTCCACTTGCCTAGGCTAGAACTAAGCGCTTGACGTTTGTCTAAGGTGCACTCAAGTCTGGCTTTGTCTGAAAGGGGTTTAAATCAAATGAGTTAAGCCGTAGCTAAGAATGAGTCATTGTAGAAACACTACTCCACCCATGCACTCTTTCTTTCCCCATCCCCCTCTCTCTCCCCAGCCCCACAGCTTAGTTAAACACAGGGGGATACAAAGGGAAGATAAGAACCCTTGAGAAATAGACTACCTTTGGAATGGGTGTTTTCGCCTGGGACTGAGGGAGTGCTTTAGGACAGTGTATGAGCCTTACTGACTGTCAATGTTATGAACTATGAACCGAGGGAATTATGGGGCAGGAAACGTACTTTTGGCATAACAACAAATACAATGCAGATTGTCTGCTGATGTGCTTTTTTCACGGTTTACACCTGTTAGTAGTGTTACGGTCTAAAGATCAATAGGTTTTCCTACTTGGTAAAATAACATATAACACCTGATTCAAATGACCTACATTTAGTGGGTCCATGGAATCTGAGTCGTGCATTTATAGTGAATGAAAATGTAAATGTTGGTATGAGACACTTTCCTTTGTACTTCAATAGCCATTATCAATGATACCTCACTGTTTTATAAATATCCTAAATCAGATTATAGAACAGGCAATGGTTGAAATTGATGGAGAGATGGAAGAGGAATGGGTGTTGGTCTATACAGAAACTGAACAAGAACAGGTGGCTGCATGTCCTCCACCAGCTCTCATCCCTTTTTTGTAAGTAGGGATGTGGTTACTGTTGAATACCTCATCTAAGATGTGAAATTTTGCCTTCGCTAGCTTGAACAACAAAAGGTGGTGGAAGTTAGTTCCACTCCGGAACTGCCCCTAATTACCCTTACCGAAAAAAACTGGCTTCTGGCAAACAGTTGTGGCAAATATTTGGCCAATTTGCCACCAATCTGCCACATTTTGTCATCTGTCATATCTTGTCATCTGTCATAATTTCACTTGCCAATTAGTTTTGTGGCAAACTGTTGCAGCAAATTTGTGGAAACTTGGGAACTTCTGGCAAACAATTCTGGGAAATTCTACTGTTTGCTGCAAACTCATTATGAATATGCAAGGATTCATAACAACATTGAAATGTTGTATCTACATAAACCAAATCACATAACTTTAAATGAACTTGCTTCTCACAGAGAAAACTAAACTAACCCTACTAAATGTACTAAATATACTAAACAACATGTATTCAATGTCTTATCAGATAAAAATTAATCCAGCACAACTTGAAATCATCAGACTTCCTGACGGGCCGGCCTCAGGTGGTGAAGGTAGGCAACAACACCTCCTCCATGCTGACCCTCAACACGAGGGTCCCTCAGCGGTGTGTACTTAGTCCCCTCCTGTACTCCCTGTTCACCCACGACTGCATGGCCACACACGACTCCAACACCATCATCAAGTTTGCTGATGACACTACGTTGGTAGGCCTGATCACCGACGGCAATGAGTCAGCCTACAGGGAGGAGGTCAGAGTGCTTAGCAGTGTGGTGCCAGGACAACAACCTCTCCCTCAACGTCAGTAAGACCAAGGAGCTGATTGTGGAGTATAGGAGAAAGAGGGGAGAGCACGCCCCCATCCACATCAATGGGGCTGTAGTGAAGCGGGTCGAGAGCTTCAAGTTCCTTGGCGTCCACATCACTAAGGACTGAACATGGTCCACACACACCTGCACAGTCGTGAAGAGGGCACAGCAGCGCCTCTTCCCCCTCAGTTGGCTGAAAAGATTTGGCATGCGCCCTCGGATCCTCAAAAAGTTATACAGCTGCACCATCGAGAGCATCTTCATTGGCTGCATCACCTCTTGGTATGGCAAATGCACCGCCCTTGACCACAAAGCACTACAGAGGGTGCTGCGAACAGCCCAGTACATCAGGGCCGAGCTCCCTGCCATCCAGGACCTCTATACCTCAAACCATAGACTGTTCACTCTGCTACCGTCCAGCAAATGTTACCGGAGCATCGGCCCTCTGACCAACAGGCTCCGAGACAGCTTCTACCACCAAGCCATAAGACTGCAAAAAAGCCCTACTGCTAAATAGTCAATTAATGGTACCCGAACTATCTTGCATTGACCCTACACACTCACTAGACTATATATGCAAACCATATACACACTCACACATACTACATTGACACTCCCACACAAAACCCACACACATTCACATACACTACGTACGCCCACACACACATTACACACACACTCACACTTTTACACTCATAATTTGCTGCTGCTACTCTGTTCTTTATTTTACTCGTATTATTATCTATCCTGATGTGTAGTCACTTTACCCTGCCTTTATATACATATCTACCTCAAATACCTCGTACCTCTGCACATTGATCTGGTACTGGTACTCCCTGTGCATTTTACATTATTCCTCGTGTTACTATTTAATTTTTAAACTCTGCATTGTTGGGAAGGGCTCGTAAGCAAGCATTTCACGGTAAAGTCTACACTAGTTGTATTCGGCGCATGTGACAAATAATATTTGATTTGATAGCTATCACATCAATTGTGCAAAATATGATAGCTAATGTTAGCTAGCTAGCTAAGCGCTAACCAGCTAGCTAAGGCTAGCCACTACTAACGTTAGCTAGCTAGCAAGTCAGTGGTGCTGACAGATTGAAACTGATATAGCAACAAAATGTGTTTCACTCTATCCCATAAAACATGAATTGCTAACCAGGCATCAATTAGCTAACATAAGTTTAGTAGGAAGT